ATTCAGAGAGGCGGAAACGGAGTTCTCGTTGAAGACGATTGGCCGCGCGCCTATATTCGGGATTGGATATTTTGCTGCTCTCAAGAAAGCAGCTTTTTTGGCTTTTAATAGGTTGCTAATATGTAGGGGAAGCCCACTATTGTTAGCGACCGGGACGACCCTTTCGTTCTCCTTAAGGGAGGATTTAATAAGGGTGGAGAGTGAATCGACCGCGGTGTCGATTTTTTCGGGACTGACTAAGTCCGACGGTAGGGAGATGGTAGAGTCCTGTGAGTCCAAAGCTTTAGCTAGGGACTCCTTGAATCCTTTCCAGTTGGTGTAGGTTTTCGTGTGTTGGGGGAGGTGGCTGATGGCCAAGAATGAGGGAGACCGGTCGGTGATCGGATCCCAGATCGTCTAGTGTCTCGATTGCTCTGAGGTTGAGAGAAACTCCTTGGAGTAACGCAAAATCTAGTACATCGGGGGCGTGATCGTTGTTATCGGGAAAGTGAGTAACACCGACGGTACTATGGACGGTAATATCAAGAGACTGCGTGATATCGAGCAGTATCTTGCCACTAGGGGACGTAGTACGGCATGTCCATTCAGTATGTTTGGAGTTAAAATCTCCAAACATAATGACTGAATTGCCTAAAGATAAAATGGCCTCAAAATCTATTTGAGGGGATGGGTTTCTGAAGGGATGTAACAGGAGGCTATGAGGATGGACTGATGTCCAGTCATAGCTAGCCTGCTTACCGTGGCTTCCATGTTGGTAAGCTGCGGAGTAGAAATGGGCGAGCAATGAAGTGTCTTCTTGTAATAGATGGCCGTTCCGCCGCCTCGGCGGTCGGGTCTGTCGTTACGAAGAAGAGAGAAATTTTTAATAGAAAGGCCATTAGCGTCCTTGGTTTTGAGATTAGTTTCCTGTAGGAGGGGGAAATCGACTTCACGATTCCGAAGAAAGAGCTTAAGCTCTGGGAGGTTATTCCGCAAGCCGCGAATATTGAATGATACAAGCGATAAACCCTTAGGTTTGATACGACCGTGTGATTTTGGTAGATTAATTTGCATTGCCATTGAAGTTAAGTTAATTAAGTTAACTTAACTTACAACGCTAACAGGCGATTATTGTGTTCTGCAAGAACGAGGAGCCGTTCTTGGGGGGACTTCGCAGCGCGCAGTTTGCGTGCTACTACCGTTATTTCCCTAATGTCTATATTCCTGATAGCGGAATAAAGTGTGTTGTAATCATCAGGTGTGGGCTCTGCCTCATGGGAGTAGGAGGTTGTCCGCGGTGCGTCCGCCTTTTTTGGGGCCCCAGGGGAAGACTGGAGGCTGCCTGGGCTTGGAGAAGCCCGAAGGGGGCCGAATTATGCCCTGAGGGGGCCTAGGGGGACCCTGAGAGGGCCGAGAGAAGCCCTGGATGGGCTGGGAAGGACCCTGACGGGGCCGTTGGTAGAGGGCCGGGAATGAGCGGTCATTGACCGGCGGTGGAGCTTGCCTACTGGGGCGAGGTTGAGGCGCGCGGGGGGCAGCCCTTGTAGTTAGCCGGGTGGCCTGTCTGTTTGCACAGGACACATGCGGGCGGGGATTCGGCGTCTTTGGGCCGGAGGCACTCTTTAGTGTTGTGGGGTTCGAGGCACTGGCCCGCATTCATTTTTTTTTTGCGCCCGAAGCAATTAAAGGGCTACCCTATACGTAGGGAGGCGGAAAATGCATTACGCATACCACGATAGCCGGTCTATCGTGGTTATGAGGGGCTCACTGTCCTACCGGGGACCCTAAGTGATACCCTCTAAAAACCGCTTTTGGGGACAGGCAGACGGCTGATTAAGCTCTATTGTGCCTTATCATGAGCGACCCTCTTTTGGGAAAAGAGGGCGCAGGCGGCTAAGTGCCGCTGAGGGAGTGCCTACGAAGGCAAATTAATGTTAGATATTACAATAATTTTATTTAATTAGAGTTGGCCTGAGCCGCCAGGAGACAGTTCAGGTCGTTTGAAAGTTTATTAGGCGGGTCCGAGAGAGAGTTTCTCGGCCTGCGGACACGATAGCGAGAGGTGGGTGGGGCTGCATAAGAAGCTGCCTCACGAATTAAATGGTTTGGGTGCGACTCTGAGGCTTTGAAGAAGTTCTCAGAGAGTTTTTTTAAGAAATTGTTGAATTGTTGGGAGCTCAGTCCCGATGAAGGTCGGCATTACGGACGTACCACGGTGCGTTCGCAGCTCGACGACAGAAGAGGTTCTGAACTATTTGGAGTTCATTTAAAATGTTAGGGTTTGCGTGGGCAAAGACGGGGCCCGCGTAGGACATGACTGGTCGTATACATACCTTGTAGAGGGTACGCTTGTTTCGAAGGGACATTTTATTGTGTCGGCCCAACATACTGTTGAGCCTACTCAGATAAAACCGTGCGTGACGGGTTACTCTTTTGACGTGGGGCTTGAAAGTGAGCCCTGTGTCTAGAGTGACACCTAAATATTTGGCGGACGTATGCCAGGGGACAGGGGTCCCTAGCATACGTATTGGTGGAGTGTTTTTGAGACGGCGTCGTTTATAATCGAAGTGGACGGCGGAGCTCTTCTCCGGGTTCACATCGATGCGCCATTTTTTGAACCAAGCTCCTAGGTCATCAACTGACTTTTAGATCTTGTTCCGTATAAGGGGTAGTGAGACGCCTTTGTAGTAGATGGCAGTGTCATCTGCAAAGAGCTATATGGCCAGGCTAGTTAATCTTGTTTTTCTGTGGATATTCCCGTTATGGACATTGGTACTGGTATTTTATTAAATAAATATGGATTTAAAATAAAAATACCTTAAAATAACCAAAATATTTGCATCATTTAAGCACATCTAAGTTTGTATATTAGATCTGTATTTTTGTCCTATAGTATTGAACAGAATAATTTTTTATTCAATATAGATCACAAATATAATTCTTATTAAAATTCATTTTTTACTTTGTTTGTTGTTGTTTTTTTTAAACACTAATAGTTAGGGCAAACAATATTCAGTATACCCAAAAATTTATTGTGACAATTACAATAATGGCCACAGCTCGTGTGATAATGAGCACTGTTAATGTTATCACTCACTTGAGAGCACTCCAAGCGATGCACGAGCGAGATACACTGATTGATGATCGCGGTAATAACATTGTACTTTGATATTTATCTTTTGAATTTATATACTAAGTAAGGTGTATCGTTACTGTTAATTAATACACTTTCACCGCGTGCTTGTAGATTTGGCAAGCATTTTTATTTTATAGAATAGGGGTGACAAGCACACACACAGCCTACACGATGTTAAGTGGATGCTGTGGTCCATAGACATCTACGTCTATCATTTACTTAGAATCAACATGCAGATGCGTTGTTACCCTTGAGGATCTAAATTGAAGGTCTAGCATCCAGTAAAAAGGATCTCCAATTCTCTACATACACCTTAAGAAACTCAGCAGCATTAAGCTACTATTTTAAGCTGGTGTTCTGTGAGAGCGTTTTCCTACCCCGGTCGAGTCTACCCATTCATACCAATGCTATAACCATAACGCAGCTTGGATCTACCACGTAAACAAAATATAATGTCGGTAGATTGAACACGTCCTTGAAATTGTGTCTTTTGCAGGTCAGGTTATCTTCATCACGATGTTGTACTTCACTGCCGGATAAATCAACTGTTATATTCGCAAGTAATGTTCTTTTAATTTTTACATTTCTGTCGGATTAAAATCGTAGCCTTTGAGAAACAAGAGCTTTACATCTTGCAAATGACTTCAATAATGAGGGAGGTTTTCAATTTGATTGTACTTTTGCCGATTATTTTTTTTTATAGAATAAGTTCGCTATAGTCGCGTAGAAATCCCAAGAGTACAATCTGTCACTTTGCCCGGCGAAGAAAGCCTTTGATCCCGTCGAAATTTTGGCGGTGCTGCAGTCTCTACAGCAGTGCCAAGTTGACTGTCGGTATATCGAAGTGCTGAAGTGTTTGTACAGTAGGTCTACGATAGCTATCCTTGTACAGAACCAGAGTACGAAAAACTATCCAACTGCAGAGAGGTGTAAGACAGGGTGACTTTATATCCCCGAAACTCTTCACCGCTGCATTGGAAGACGTTTTCAAGCTACTGGACTGGAAAGGATACGATATTAACATCAATGGCGAGTAAATCACTCACCTTCGAATTGCCGATGATATAGTCCTTATGACAGAATCGCTGGAGGACTTAAGCACTATGCTCAATTACCTCAATAGTGCCTCCCAATGGATAGGTCTTAAGATAAACATAGACAAAACAATGATCATGTTTATTGCCCATGTCACACCTATACTCGTAGTGATTGGGAGCACTAAGCTCAAATTTGTTGACGAGTAGATACGTATACCTGGGACAAATATACCGACTAGGTAAGTCCAACTTCGACCTTCGATTCGATCAATCGACGAATTCAACTCGGCTGGGCAGCATTCTGAAAAATACGACACTTCTTCTCGCCAGGTATACCTCAAACTCTGAAAACTAGATTGTACAACCAGCCTGTGTTGCCAGTGATGACTTACGGATCTAAGACGTGGTTTTTCACTGCTGGCCGTTTAAGGACGCTCAAGGTCGCTCAGCGAGCTATGGAGAGGGCTATTCTCGGAGTTTCTCTGCGTAATAGACTCAGAAATGAGCATATCCGCAGTAAAACTAGAGTGACCGACATAGCCCAACGGATTAGTAAGCTGAAGTGGCAATGGGCCGGCCGTATAGCTCGAAGAACCGGTAACCGATGGGGAAGAAAGGTTCTCGATTGGCAGCCTCGTACCGTTAGGTGAAGTGTAGGGCGAACCCCCACTAGATGGAGAGACGACATGGTAAGACATGCTGGAAGTCGATGGATGCAGGTGGCTCAGGACCGTGCTTGTGGCATACCTTGGGAGAGGCCTATGTTCAGCAATGGACTTGTGAAGGGCTGTGATGATGATGACGCAGCAAGCCACGGTTCATTTTATAATGTAGACATATATGTGGCAATGGTCTTTGAAGCGCATAATAAAGATGTTCTGTTTACCATCACACCTGAATGGCAAAAATTTGAAGTTTGTGATGAGCTTTCGATATTTAGGACATATCGTATCGGCAGTGACCTGTGGAATGATTGGGACATGGACAGGGAAAGCGGTTCCTTACTGTACGTGCTAATATTATTAGCAAGAAGTTTAACAAATGAGGCCATGATACCAAAATATTACTATTCAAAACCTATTACTGTTAATCGCTTTACATCTACAATGTTCGCTAAGGCACGCGTGCTGGCGCTCGATGTTTGATAAGACATATGTAGAAGTAATCTACTCAAAAATCTTGAAACTCGATGATACCGGGGTGGTCTGAAAAGTTTCCGACCTCAACGTAAAGATAAATTTAGTTGTATATATTTTGAAAGTTACGCACCAAACTTTCAGCCATTTTGAACGCGTAGTTGTTTTTTGACAGTCGTTTGTGTGAGTTGTTCAAATTGAAAAATTTTATATCTAGCAGTCATTAATTTTTTTTGAAAGGCAATATGCCTGCACAAAACGAACATTAATTGAACTCTGTGTATTGGGAATCTGCACTTTCATTTACCACGGTGAAATGTTGGGTAGCTTAATTTAAGCGTGGCCGTGAGAGCTTGGGAGACGATGAACGTTCAGGATGTGCAAAAATGCAACAATAAATAACGCTAAAGTTCACCAAATGGTGGTAAACGACAGCTAAATTAAAGTGAGAGAAATAGCAGAGGCTACTAAAATGTCCAAAAAACGTTTTTTCACATATTAAATCAAGATTTATGCATGAGAAAGCTGTCAATGTTGGGTGCCGCGTTCCTCACGTTAGATCAAAAATGTGTTCAAATTAATATTTCCAACGCTCTGTTGCTATAAGTCCAGTATAGGTGCTACAAGTCCGAGTTTCGGCGCGATTATCTACTGTAGATGAAACTTGGATATACTAGTATACGCCCGAAACAAAAATACATTCTAAACAGTGGACTGCAAAGGGGAACCGATTCCAAAAAAAACTGAAACTATTTTATCGGTTGGTAAAGTGACGGTGACTTTTTTTGGGATAGCCATGGAGTTATCTTAATCGATTATCTTCCGAAAAGAAAACCATTACAGGAGTATACTACGCATTATTTATTGAAAAGTTGAAGGTGTAAATTGAGGAAAAATGGCTACATTTGCAGAAAAATGCATATTTCTTGTGAATAAATTTATTATTTATTTTTTTATTTAAAAGAAAATCCTTTTTCACCATGACAACGCGCCGTCTGGACAGCTCAGCTGTTGCCCTAGCAAAGATAAACGAATTACGGTTTGAACTCCTTGATCGTCCACCTTACTCATCAGGTCAAGTGACTTCTTATTGTTCCCTCATGTAAGAATTGCGCTCGGAGAGGTTTTTGTCAAATAAGAACTCTTTCATGAACAATTATTTTGCAGAGAAAAATGTTTATAAGTAACATGAAGTATTTAGTAACAAGGAGATCATGTAGAAATTTAAATAAATTTTAAGAAAAAATGTTTTGAATATTTGTTAGGTCGGAAACTTTTCAGACCTTCCATGTACAAACTTTAACGTTGTAGTGAAATATTTAAATATTGGTCTAGCGTGTTAATATTTAAGTTTTAATTTATTTGATAGCGTTTTTTTGTATTTCATTATTATTTTAATTTATTTAAAAATTATTTTCTTTTATTTATCTTTTATAATTGTAACTTATAAGTATCTATACTTTTTTACGAGCCTTCGTTGTCAGTCAATAAATGATTATTATTATTTTTATTATAAATCAAAATGTCTAATATAATCTTATATAACATAACTTATAGTTTTACTTGCAAAAGTATTTATTTCAAAGTTACAAAATATATAAATGGTAAAGTAAAGTGAATCAGGATGGGTTATATATCATTTTCACATCATTTAATCAAGATGTATCGACTAAAAGAAGTAAAAAGTAAAGTAAAATTACAGCCTATAAACGCCTCACTGCTGGGTACAGGCCTCCCCTCATTTCTGAGAGGGTTTTAGGGCAAGGAAGTGTCCGGCGCGCTGCCCCAATGCGTGTGATGCAATGCGAAAAATTTCGAAGACATGTGAAGTACGCCATACTTCACATGTCTTCGAAATTTTTCGACATGCAGGGTACATTAATTTAATCAAGATGTATCAACCAAAAGATGTACTGAAGACAAATTACTACATCGGCTCATCTAATGACAAATGCCTTTTGCAATATAATTGAATGTAACTATTTTTCCCTCAATATAAATTTCTTTAAGATGAGTTTCATAATACAATCATGTATGTTAATGTGTAATGTAGAGTCTGAAAAGTAACTTTACATTTGCACCTTTGCTGCAGAAAAAAATAACATAACATACACACATAAACACTTACGCCTGTCACACAGAGGGGTAAGCACAGACTACAGACTTCCATTTGGCACGATCCTGACACACCTCTCTCGCCTCTTTCACATCCATACACCTACGCATACATGCTCGTCGGTTAAGGGTACTCCTAATTTGGCCCGTTTTCAATAAATCTCCAATTTGATCGATAAATTTTCGCCTAGGACGTCCCTTTCCGACTTTGCCATTCGCTTCTGCAACATAAATTTTCTTTGTTACTCTTTCCTTATTCATTCTTCCCACATGACCAAACCACCGAAGCATTCCTTTCTTAATCCTGGTCACAACATCATCTTGCAAACCACACTCTCCTCTTATTACACAATTTCTTACCCTGTCATTCAGATTTAGCCCTAACATACTCCTTAACGACCGCATTTCTACTGCATTCATTCTACTCTCGTGCTTCTTCTGCCACACCCAACTTTCACTACCATACGTTAAAGTAGGGACCAACACAGCATTGTGAATTGCCATACGTGCCTTTTTCGACACATTTTGAATCTTCGCAATAGAGTGTAGGGCCCCATTTATTTTATTTCCTACATTCACTCGTCGTTCTATATCCTTATCGCATCTCCAATCCCTGCTAAATACGCAGTCCAGATTAACAAACTCATCTACTTGCTCGATCAACTCCCCTTCTATACTTATTTCACATATCGTCTTACTTTCTTCTCTTTCAAAAACCACAATTTTCGTCTTACTTGCGTTCACTTTCCTACCCCGTTCTTTTAATGATCTGTTCATTAATGTAACCATCTTTTGAAGCTCGGCTGCCGGCGATGCAAGAATAACTTGATCATCGGCGTACAGAAGGCGTTTGACGGTTAACTCATCCATTCTTAATCCGCATTCTTCAACTTTCAAATTTTGCAAACAACTGTCCGTAAATAGGTTGAACAGCCACGGGGAAGCCACACAGCCCTGTCTGACACCTTTATGGATGCCAAACCAGTCTGAGTCGACCCCGTTGATCCTAACACAAGCACTAGAGTCCCTATAAAGCGACTCTAATGCCTGTATCAAGCCAGCGTTCAACCCAAATGAATTCAGTGTTTGCCATAGCTCATACCTATCCACTCTGCCATAGGCCTTTTCCAAGTCCATGAACACACAAAAAACCTTTTGGTTTTTGGCCAAAAACTTTTCCGCGATCATGCGCATGGAAAAGACTTAATCTGTACATCCCATTCCCTTTCTAAATCCCGCTTGCACATCCCAAATTTTTTCATCAGTTTCTTTCATGACCCTTTCAATCAGTACCTTAGCATACAGTTTTCCCACAATGCTAAGAAGGCTGATACCACGGTAGTTTTTACAGTCCTGCTGCGACCCTTTTCCTTTATATACTGGGACTATCACGGCTTTGCACTAGTCTACCTGTACCCGCCTCAGTTCCCAGCATAAATTAAACAAGGTGTGCAGCAGGCCTGCCCCCACTTCCTCTCCAGCCCTTAGCATTTCGAGTGAAACTCTATCATATCCGGCAGCCTTACCTGCTTTCATGCTTTTCATTGCTTTCATTATTTCATCTATACTTATCTCGCTACCTCTTTCCTCTTCTTTCGGAGTTTATACTTCATTTATTTTATACGTTGTCTCATCACTCATAAAAACGCTTTCAAAATATTCCTTCCATCTCTTTAAACTCATAACTTCATCATTCAGAATAAAGCCATTCTCATCTCTTATAGCATTCATTATAGTCTGTTTTGAATGTCCCCTAGTAGTTCTTACGAGTTTACGAAAATTTTAATATTTGCCTGGAAGTTATCTGATATTTTTCTATCTTGCTTATCTGTTCTTTCTTGCTTTTTACTTTCAACTACTTCTTTTACTCTCTTATTTAAATGTCTAAAGACTGCCTTTTTTCTTTCAATATCATCATTCCTACCGCTAGAATTACCAGCCTTTTTTGCTAGTAAATATAACCATGCTCTCTTCTTTGCTTCAACTTCGTATCTCATCGTCCCACCATAACATATTATTTTTCCTTTCATTCTTTCTCTTGTAATAGTGTAGATAAACGGTCCACTATTAACAGACTCCGAGTGGTTTTAAGGTGGAGAAATGAAACTACTATTTATGTAAAGACAAATGGAGTACGAATATGGAATGGAATATATTTTCGTCAACCTTGCCTATACTTATATGGCTGGCTACGTTGTTGGTTTACCAATGGTAACAATTTTTATTTTCCCTAGCCAATTATAATTCTTACATTATGACCAATGAAGATTAACCAAAATACACAACTATTATGTACGTTTCCTTTCCCGGCGTGAGACTCGTGCTATCTTCACGAAGCTACGTCGCTGGACCGGGCTATAAAAGTCATGCAGATCGGTGCGCGCGCGTAGTCGGCGTGACCGTAGAAGTAAAAGGGGAGATCTCCCGCCGGGCAAGGTGTTCTGCCTGAGGAGCTGTCAACACTCCATGTGATAGTTCTGAGATGTTCTATATATACTACCAGGAGATTGCCTTGTAATCTGCGGTGAGTCGAGAAGAAGGCAAGTAATCTGCGAGAGTGCCGTGAAGCAGAAGCGAGCAGTAAGGCTCAGAGCCGTGCCGAACATTGTATGGCAAAGAGAGTAGCTTGAAGGAACAGGAAGCATTATTATTCCAGTGCTGCGATAAACCTTGTGAAGCTAGATGGCTTGCAGGATATGAAGACTGCAGACGATATCCGCTCGGGAGCGAATGGGTGGGGTATTCTATAACGATGATTAAGCTTGAAGTTTCCGAAGGTTGTTGGTTGCGTGTTCAGATCACGTCGGGGTCACCACTGTGACCGTAGAAGTAAAAGGGGAGATCTCCCGCCGGGCAAGGTGTTCTGCCTGAGGAGCTGTCAACACTCCATGTGA